GGAGTTTGTTCTTATACTTAATGCCACCCCGCCAAGACATTATTTTTCGCTGATCTGTCAGTTTTGGTCAGATTCTTACAAACTGACACGGATTGGTCAGCGACGAAAGCCAGTGGCTACCTAAAGATGGGATTATTGTAGAGGTCGAATCTACAAGAATACAACATCTCGACTTGTGGAAAATAGTTTCAGTATTTTGCCGAATTCGTGTCAGTTTGAAATGTACGAAAGTCCGTCACGCTCCACTCTACAGTGTTGTATGCTCATCGTTTGCGGGGAATGTAATCTACTGTTCTATGCTTACAGTATTCGATTGTATTATACATTCCTCAGTTTTAACGGGCACGGGCCATGCTGCACTCATGGTGTATGTAGGATCGGATGAGGAATCGATACAGTATGAGGTCGATTTTGTACTAAGAACAAAAGTAATTTTATCAGTTGTGATAGTTACTCAGCACCGAATACATTGATAGCAGAACTTTTTGATGCAAGCTAACTACTAACTGTAAATTACATCCAGTTTACTACACATAGTTTACAAGTTTTAATAGTACAGGCGACAACGCATGTATTTGCATACAGCATCGAAAATAAATGCATCAGGCGACAACAATTATGCATCGTGACCGGGACATCATTATCAAGCATTTGAAATTGGGCGAAAGATGTATGCGTATGGTACTTGTTGTGACACGAGCAAAACTCTGGTCCTCGGGCATGGAGGATGACGTTCGTATGCAGAAACTACGAATTACTTCGAAAGTAAAGAGCTTTGAGCTTTTGCAGCGACGGATAAATCTATTCTTAAAAAAGAGAGATTGTCGACTGAGCTACCTGGAGCGACTGCTCTCTGTTTATAACGATCTCAATACCATGCGTGAAAAACGCACGAGGACAGCCTCCGCTGCTCGTGTCAAGTGCGTGTGTGGGGCACAAGAACTGAGTTTCAAGTATAAGGTATTTCAAGTAAAAGGCAATTCAAGTATGGCAACAATAGGTACATTTATGCATTAATTCACGCTTGAAACCAATTGCAAAATTGTTGTCGTATGATGTATTTATTATCGACCCGGTACGCAAATTCATGCGGTGTCGACGGTGAACTGATAATAACGCTTTTGATGTAAGTTGTATTACAGCAGCATGAGCAAACGCAAGATATTAAGATCAACCGTTTTACAATGTAGTAAATTGCGAAGTGTTAAGACCAGAATGCGAAGTTCTTATGAGTACATCTCGCTGTGGTAGTCGTACATGTAAGTTCTAATAGTAATTACTATTAATACTTAAGTATTAGTATTGCGGCGGTAGGAGACATTCTATGCGGCGTTAAACTTATTCCTGTAACTCCACCTATAAGCCCCTACAAGTTTCTTCCCCCCATCCGAAGACCCAATCATCTTGAAGACGTCAGCCGGGGTTCTCTCCATGGCCAGCCACTGGTTAACTAGCTGATTCTGCAAGAATGGGATCACACTGTCTCCAGCCTGTTCTCTAGGTGCAACAAGCATAGTTGCCAGGTTTTTCTCTCCATACCTCGCCCACAGACTCTTAAACGGAGTTGTGTTCTCCCCACTCCAATTTTGCAGGAATTTCCCCCAAACCACGAAATTCGAGTTTTCAAGCGTGACTCCAACCTTATTAAGTCTCAGTTCTTTAAAGATGTCATCGCTGTTGAGACCTATGTCTCGCCAGTGTTCGAACTGCTGGTTCTGCAGTCTCACCGCCATCTTCTGGATTTCCACGTCCTTGGCCTTCGTCGCAGTTTGTTGCAGCATCCTAGCAATGGCTTCATCACCGTAGCCTCCCTTGAGAACTTCAACCATAGTCAGCGACTTGGAGTACCGCACATTATAGTCGACAAGGTATTTGTTGAGCGCGAAGAAGCTCGGGTTGGTAAGCATATCGTCCAATTTGCCTTTGTCTCCGAGTCTTAATCTGGTGAAGACATCTGTTGGTAAGAGGTCCAAACTCCTCCAATACTTGACCTGTTGCTCCTGCAAGCTCGATGCAACTCGCCTTGTATCCACAACGCTCGACTTTGAAGCTATTTCGAGCATCTTCACCAGAACATCGTCGCCATAGTGTTTCGTCAGAGTCGGTATCATCGATATCTCGTTCTTTCCTGCTTTGATGTTGTAGTCGGTCACGTACTTGACCCAAACGTGGAACTTCGGGTTCTCGAAAAGTGTGTCGCCTGCCTTGTCAAGCTTGAGCTTCGAGAAAACTTCGTCTCCTGTTTTTCCCTTCTTGAGGTATTTCGAAAGCTTGTTTTGGGTCCAGGCCGTCTTCAGTTTGTCAACGCCGGGGAGCGATTTAAAGTTAATCGCCCTCTCTTCGTCGTTATCCTCCGCCTCGGTAGTGTACACCCTCAAGGACCGCTTGGTGGGGATATTCTGCTGCTCTTGTGTGAACGAACGAGTCGTAGCAGAGAGGTCGACAGGGTTCCGGTTTGCGTCCGTCGCTATTGAGATGCCATCGATAGCTGTCAAGAGAATCGTAGCAGCTGCTAGCACCACATCATAAAGACGCATTATTGGCACTGCAGAGATTGTTGGAGCCTTGGAAGACTAATCCACCGGAGGGGAATTCGCAAACTGAGTCAAAAGCATTGCAGATGACATGGTAGACTGACTGGTTGAATACACGAAAGGCGAGCACAGTGTAATGTATGGTGTGATCGTACATGTACTGCACACTACAGTACATATTAAACCAAAGTCAGGTAAACACCACAACTGCACGACGCCAGAACGGTACCGACGATAGGCAGCCGATCCCAGCTTTGAAAGCGGGAAGGCTGTTTTCCCAGAAAGCCTTTCCTTCCTGACCCGGCTAGGAATTGGTTTTGGGATGGTACCCTTCAATTTATAATAAAAGATTATCTCTCGCCCACGTTTTACCGTATTTTGGCCAATTATCTTCGTTGAAATTAGTGTTTTGCTTTTCCTGCCACTTGATCGTTGTACCTTTTTCGAAACATTTGTTTGCGAGAAAATGATTCATCTAAAGATTGTGAACAGGGCAACTCGCAAATTGCGAGTCACAATGCATAGCGGAAATTTCACTTTAGCAGAATAAGATAGGTAGCTAGCTATCTCAAGCTAGGCGCCGAACGTTCATGAATTTGTTAATTTGAGCTAACAACGTTACCTAGCTGGAGTATGGAAACAAAAAGTTTGAGTGATATTGATTTGTAATAACTCGCCTCGTTCAGAGCAGAACTATGCCTGCGACGCACAAATGTAGTTAGATACTTATATTGCTATTTCAAAGTCCTCCCAGCCTAAAGCGAAGCACCATAGTTTGCAAATCTCAACATTAGATGCTAAAAAGCAAGAATTATCCCAATCCCGTTTTCTAGGAAAGTAAAGAGACTAAAAGCAGAAAGTTTGCTCAAATCTCGCAACCATATGTTTTGTATAAAGCGCTGTCATTGGTCATAATCTTAGTTTACTTAGGATCCACTCGATTTGTACCTTTTTCGGAAAGTTTGTTTGTGAGACAGTCTCTATTAATGACTAAGAATTGCAGGTTTATCCGATTTAGCAGTATCCGATCAGTTAATGATCAGCGGGCCGTCATACCCCGTTGACCATGCCTTCCACGACTACGGGTGAGTGTAGTGTAGAGACTGTTGAGGAGTAAACAGCCACGAAATGCCTGCATACCTGAGCACGATTTTCAAGTAAAGCGACATTATGATCGTCAGTGGTATCTAGATTTGGCATAATCGTTGATAGGTGGCGTCCTAGAGAGGGCGGACCGCTTTTCCCGTCCAAAAGCGGCAATTTTGGTGCATTCTCCACAATTAGGAGCGCCAGGTGGCCGAAACAGCTTCCTTCCCTTACCCCTATGCTCTATATCAGAGGAGTTTAGCAAATCGGGTCCGGTATACTGAACCTCGTTTTGCCAAAATATCCTTACCCTATTCTCTGTCTGCTTTAGGGTTAAATCGATAAGCCAGCAAATCATATGTTCAAAAGTTCAAACTTCGAGCTTCCCTGGCCACAAAGATCAGTACATAATATGTAAAACCTACCGATTGAAATAGATGGACTGTGTTACGAATATGATGTGCCTATCATAAGGAATAAATATATACTCTGGGCAGGTTTGGATGACATTTACTAGCCAACTTCTAAATAAAGAGCACGGAGCTATTCTTCTAGATGTCCGATGTCCGTCAAACTACATCTGTTCTTACGAATCTCTGTTAGAAAGAGAATTGTACAGGAACTCCTAAAACCAAACCACTATAGCCGATAAAAGACGCAGAAGCGGAGTTTGTTCTTATACTTAATGCCACCCCGCCAAGACATTATTTTTCGCTGATCTGTCAGTTTTGGTCAGATTCTTACAAACTGACACGGATCGACGCTGCATAGCCGGTTAAAATTAATAAAAAGAAGGTCAAGTTCTTTATAATTAGTGCCATACCGTTATCATTGCAACGGAGTTTCAGTTGCAATGATTGCGGTATGACACTAATCTTATGCACCGCTGCATCGTGGGTGGATAAATAGATTCTGTATGCTGCCCTACCATACAATCACTTTTCAACTCGCTCAGTCACACACTAATCTCGAAAGCACAACCAACAATGCGATTCTTCTACACTGGAGTACTGGCTATCGTTTTCATGGTGTATACCGTCTGCGTTTCTACGGCAACTCACTTGCCATCTACACCCAACACTCGGAGTACCTTAACGCTGTCAGTTAGGTCGTTGAGAACTATCGAGAAGACCGACAGGATCGACGAAGAAAGGGGCGTCGCTGGAACGGTATCCAGTCTGGTTAAATCGAGTGCGTCCAAAGTCATCGAATCCGCGACTTTGAAAGCTTATTTGGCCGCGAACAAAGATGGGATATATGTTCTGAACAAACTGAAACTCGGTAACGACGTCCTGGAAGTTTTGGAAAGCCCCAAGCTGAGTAAGTTATCCAAGTACATTTCAGCTTACAATTTGAAGCACCCGAACGAACAAATCTCGTTGCTTGGAGTTCTCTCGACTCGCTACGGAGACGATGCTGTGGCAAAAGCCCTCGTAACTGCAAAGGGGCGCACCAACTCGGCTGAATTGGCGGAGAGTTTACAAAGACAGCAGTTGAACGGTTGGCTGGACAACCAGAAGACCATTGAATATGTCATGGGAAACTGAAGATTGGTGACGACTGGACCCTAACTATGTCGAGTCGGAGCTTGGACGCGTTGGACGAATATATCAGGCTGTTCAACGTTCGATACCCACCAGCTAAAACCGATATCACGACGGAGCTTGCAAAACGCTTCGGTGGCGAAGCCAAATTCGCCCGTTTGGTTGCAAGTGCTTTGCAATTGCCACAGTCAAGACGAATGTACGTCAATGCTGAAAAATTCCAAAACGCTCTATTTAAGCAGTGGAAGGATCGCGGTTTAGATCCCATGAGTGTTCATGTTCAAGTATTTAAGGTGGACGAGAACAATGTGGCTTCTGCCGGTTCTGCGTTGAAGAATGTTGTCGAGCGTTACCAGAGAGATGTCTATCGTGGCCCCGTTGAAGGTATTTTTGTAAATCCTCGTCGTTCGTAGTCGGCACGAAGACAATCAAAACGACAGTCGTTTCCCTGGGAAAGACTACTGAAGAAATTTAGGCTTGGAAGAGACGTTAAAAACTGAGATATCATTGTTGATCAGCATTTAACGAAAATATCCCATCGTTTTGACCAATAATTACCCTAAGGTGGTGACTTGTGATCAGTAGACACCCCCACAAGCTAATTTAGACAATAGTTGTTTTCAGACTCAAGTGCCTGTGTAATGGAAATAATGAGTCGCCTATTCTTTTGACAACTTTGGACGTGGTTCGAGCTTTAGGATCACGGAGAAGCGCTCTGCCTTCACTCGTATTGCCTCACCCGTGGCAGTAACCTCATTCTTTTCCCACCAGGAGACCCAACTGGCAAGGACCTGGTCCAGTTTGGGATGGCGCATCTTGTGTCGCGATATTTGTGGCCAACTGCGAGACCTGAAGTGACTGCAGCGCTTTTCTGCGCATCAATAGCTTCAAGATCATTGCTTGTATGGAACCAGAGGGAGACAGTAGATTATGTGAGAGATCGTAAATTCTTTGGGCCATGGATCTATTTCTTTGGAAGAGGTTAGCGTGGTACTACCATATTTGCAGTTGTTGAGTGTTAGTGAGTGTGACTGGGCTGCATTTTGGTGTGGCGAGTTAAAACTACTATCTGCTGTGCACTGTTCCAAACTGATGGTACTCGGATCCATTTTTGTGGTATTGTGCCTTTACAAAGTTTTGGCCAATCTGACCTTTAAAGGCAGGTCCTAAGCAAGGGTGGGTAGGGCTAAAGGTGGGATTTGAGGACGAACTGGAGTTGAATTGCTAAGCCAGGCCACTAAATAAAATGATAATTGACCAATAACACTGTTTGATTTTGCCGACTATGATCCAATAATACTTGATTGTGGAGGTCCTACGTAAGGGCTCCGATTTGATCTAAAGGGTACCTTTTAACAAATTAAGGGCTGCATGGCCAGTATTTGCCGGCCATTTACCCTTACGTAAGGTATCCACAACAGATTGATTTTACGGGCTACTCATCAGACATACGCGGGCGTGGCATTGTCTTGCAGTATGTCTACAATATTGAGATCAGCGTAGTTGCCGGTGTACTAGGCGTCTCGGCCAGAAGCCTTCGGAGATGGTACCATCTCTTCAAGACAACAGGAAATGTCGACGACACCCCAAAGAATGAGCGGTCACCTAAATGGCCGATTGAAGTGCAACAATTTACTCGCGAGCAACACCCCTTTTCTTTGATTGGCATCGTATTTTTTTCGTCACAGGGTTAGGCTAAATTTTAGTCGGAAGCACCCGATCAGATAGGAGGTCTTCCGTAAGGGCCACACTCCTACGTAGGACCATAAAACTGAGGGCGTTTTGGCAGAAAGGCACAATACATTCATGGAAAGGAATACCCTTAGACAGGAATAAAATGTGGGCTATTGGTGATATGACTGCCAAAGGGATCGTCTGTTTTATATTGATAAGCATGTTAAAATACATTTCTAACCAAGTTCGTGGACAAACGATTTAAGCGATTTAATGGATTTTACCGTGAAGTACAAGGTCCGTGAAGCAATGAGATCGTGGTTTACAACACGCAGCTCTGCATGTACTTTACGTTGCAATAGTTTATCCCCACGATACTAAAGTACTGGATGAGGTTGTATTGCAATATTTCCTTTCGTTGTCTGTGGTATTTACCGACAGCAAAGACTAGCGATATCGTAGTGCGGGCATACTTGACTGTGCGATAATGTAAATCATTTCAAGCACGATATCTAATGGCACTGCCAAAATCCCACAGATATCCAGTATTAGACCTCAAAACCAGTTATCTGTCATTTTCCATGTTACTGTTATACTAGTAGTGGTTTGTAAGACCAGGTAGGTTTTGACGATTAATTGTAGTAGTTGATCTGTTACCTATAGTATAATCAATAATCCACATCCTGACTTGATCATCGGGCTACTAATTAAAGACTCAGAAGACGTTTCTACAGCACAGTCAATCGTCAGTATGTAGAGCTACTAATTAATTGCTCGCTCGCTAATCTGATGGGTGATGGTCTTTACTGCCAGCACTTCAGTGCGAATAAGCTATTGGGTGCTTCCTGATATCCCATTTTATATTTGCGACACACATTTGTGTATTTTTTAGCGCTCGTCGTTGCTGGCTCGACAGAGAAAAATAGTGCGAACAACCACAAATTAAGTACGACAACGATCGCACAGAATAGCTTCACCATCTTTCCTCGAGACGGCGGATTCTGGAATGAGGAAGAACTTCTGTTCGTATTAAAGCGGAAATGAAGGCGTGTGACATAGACTTCCAACCAATGGTGAAAGGCCACTTTGTTTCGTGGTTGCAGCTGCGATAAGAAAAAATGCCGGCGTAATGTGCTGCGCCCAACGGAGGTTAGCTTGATTTTCACTTCGAATGAATTTCTCCTTTGCATGTTGCTAGAATAGGGACAATTGTGCTGCTGCAACCGATTCACTCTCCAGCTGAAACCCTCTCCTTTCTAATACCAAAGTGTCACTTCGCATCCAT